ACATAACATACATAAATACACTTTTCCATGTTTTAAACAGAAAGGGACACACAATACTAAAGAACAACAAAAAAAAAATCCCTTCTCAATAGTAGAACTTTTCTTCAGTAACTATGGTTGTGTAAAAAATAAGTAATCAGGCTAATTTTGTAGTGGCTGACCAGAAAGCTAAACTTAAAGTTGAAATACTTTTTCTTGTTATGAAAACCTGTGACCTGTGCAGTCACCTACGATTGACTACTTTACAGTTCTTTTGTCCTGTTTTTATCTCCTGACCTTTTCTGTTAGTACTTTTTGTTTATTTACCATTTTAAACATCCAGGATACAAGACACATCTTTAAAGTCACTGAATTTAAATTCAGCACATATTGACAGAAAGACATTACAAACCAAAGGCTGTAGAAAACCTTCAGAGAAGTGGCTTGTGGATTCTGTTCATCATCTAACAAACACATGATCACATTTCAAAAATCTGCCTCAATTTTGGCAGTACTTTTAACTCTCTCAGAGCTCCAAAGTTATGGTCCCTGCCTTAAAGGCTCCCTGTACAGATAGTTGGAGGATTCCCCCAGCACAACAGAGAAAAACCTCTACCATGTCACATTTTTGTTATGTCTCTTATAAACAGAACATTTCACATTCTAAAAAAAAAAAAATAAAAAAAAATAGTGAAGCGGGAACCTAATATAAAACACACATTAATTTAAGACTTGAAAAACATTCCTGAACTGTGATTCATTCATGCACCCTTTAACTTCCACACCACGACTTCTGCATTTTCCTCTCTGGCTTTACTAAGACCAAATATTTATTTGTGTTCTAGACTAACATGATCAGTACTCACAACGTAACAATTTGAACCATCTACGCCATATGCTCTAGTGCCTTTAAATAAAATATCTCCTATTCAATAAAATGTAAAATTACAAGTTTATTTAAAACACTCCGTTCTTGAAAACTAGTCTAATGTCAGAATCTCTCTACATGCACTAAAAATTTGGGCATGTACAGCTTTTCCAATCCCTACTGACTGCAAGTGGATTACTAAAGAACATACCCTGGATGAGGGTTTGAGAAACATGGGGGTTTTAATATTAGTTCCACACGTATGTTTTGATAAGAACAATAAATTCTAGTTGGAAAGCCAGGACACTTTAATACTCAAAGCTGTTCTGTCTCTTCATAGTCATTGCTACCTTCCATTTTTCACCATACTCAAGGATACAGTATACTGATGATGTTGGATATTGTCTACAACTAGATATTTCTTTAAATTCTGCAAGGTAGCATGGGTTTCTTATTTGAACTGCGTATCCTTAAACAAAATCTTAAATAACATTGCTGAATTTGCAAATCAGTGTCTCTTCCTTACAAAGTACTAGTAACGCTAAAAGTAGTTAACATTTTCAGAAGAATTTTCAAGTAAAATCCCTATGCAAGTAGTAGTTGGTAGTTAAACACCAAGCAGGACTTCTAGACAAGGCTGTCATACTTACACTATTTGGTTTCGATCTACTTCTGGATTTTTACCCAAGGTCGAAAACTACAACTGTGATAGACCTAAAAGGTAATATTAGCTTTCTTCTCATGTGTCAAGATCACTGGTTCAGGCAGATTTTTAGGATAAACAGGACAGAACTGGTACATCTTGGATAAGCAACATCATTAGCATGGAAACAATATTTAGAACTTTCACTTCTTCTGGAACGACAGCATTAGTGCCCACTTTTGTACCTGTCACAAAAGCAATCCACCTATCTTGGAAGAGTAAAAAGTAAATTGTTTTTCCTCCAAGAAATAAAGAATTTTCTATTACAACCATTTAAAGCAATTCTCCATTAATTTAATTGTTTTTACATTTACTTAAGGAACACAAACTAGAAAACTCCTAACATTTTACTGCTAGGGATAGATAAATACACCTACTTTAGTGTGTGTGGTGTCTGCACATTATATACCTGTGGTAAGCAGCTGTTAAATTCAATACTCTCCTCAAAAGCTTATGTTGCCAGTGTGTAGGCGACCTGACCTCCTGGCTAGAGCTATTGTGCTGACAATCTCTGGCAAATACGTGCACTTCCCTCTTCCAGCCTTAATATACTGCTCTCTTCATGCCTTCTCTCATAGAAGTTATATAAAAGGGCTTGGTGGCTGCGCAAAAAGAACACCCTGCAATTTAATTTTCAGAGACTTGACCTAAGCCTCCTGACCAGATATAGCCCAAATTATCACCCATGTAGCTCACAGTAGTATCCAGATTCCCAGGAAGCTCACAAGCTCTCCTATGACATGTAACAAGATACATACTCATCACATGAATAAAATCATAGATAAATCTCCATCCATGTAATGAGTGTGTCTGAATATCCTTGTATACTCACTCCTTCACACTGGCACATCTCCCACGGTGGTGGTGAGGAGGTGTGCCTGCCTGATACTTTTCATTCCCAAGATGTTCAACCCTCAGCTGGCATCAGTAAAAACAAAATGTTAGCACTGCTGTTTCATGTTACAGACAGACTGGGGCCATGAGACTGGGAACATCTCCTGCTCCGAGTATGTTTATCCTGAATAATTCATTAATATGTAAATATCTCATTTAGATAAAATATCAACTAGATAGCTAGAAATGAGCTAGCTCCAGAAATGGAAACTGGACTAACATGATAATCCACCCATGCTTGTTCATATTCTTCAAAGAATTCAGACATACATGGCTGTGTGGGGATACCTGCACTATTATGGAGACATACCAACAGTGCAATTTCCTCTGCAGGGCAAGAAAATTCTTGCAGGACAGGTGAAATTCTAAGGTTCCCCAGCTCAGCAAAAATTCTTAACAAGTGAAAGAAAGAAGTCTTGTAATATAGCTTCTTCAGCAATGAAGATATTGGCAAGAAAAGAAGGTATCACTTCTATAGCTTTCCTTGAAGATTTCTTGGAAAAAAACAGCTGGCTTTTCAAATGACAGTAATGAACCAACATATAGGTATCTCATAAGAAGTGTAATCAAATCACGTTTTGATATAGAACAAACAATTATCTTAACTACTGTAGACTGGAATTTGTAAGTTCACACTTCTTTATTAAAGAGTTAAATTATAAAGTTAAGTTATAAAAGTTAACACAATTATTTATGCCATATTAAACTCCAGGAATCTCTGCTGTAGTAGTAGAATAAGTATTAAATTTCAGCTGCAGCACAGTTACAATCAGTAATCTCCTTATCCACACATAGAATTAGAATGAAAACAAGCTAACACCCAACCAGAGCAACTTTAACTGCATTAGTAGTGTGATAAAAGCTTTTAGAAAATATTTTTTTTTCTTTTTTAGGTGTTAACATATACAGTGCATAGCACAGATCTAATGAAGATTTTTTCCATGTTTGACCACCTCAGCAAATGCCCCAAGCCAGGGACCTAAGGATATGAAACAAACAATTCAACAGTGACTGATAATCATTTATACTCTCAAAAGAATACCAGAATTTTTGCACAGCTGCAAAAGAGTGATTTTAGGTTCCTCTTAACTCGTTGAGCTTCCATGAGAAAGAGAAATGCTAAGAATTCAGAAGTAAAGCAAGACGATATAAATCACAATTATGCTAATATTTCTAGCCTTGTGGTAAAAAGGACCTTAGCAAGGTGGTAAAATTTTTATATATATGAGAAATATAATCTTTAGATCAATTAGATGCTTAAACTACAGAGTGCTATGCTAGTGTAAAAGTAATGCCAATGCTACTACAAAATAAAAGATGTGCTAAAATTCAACAGTTATTTTTCAGACACCATCTGCTTTTTCTTTCATTCTTTTCTGATTTTGATCTGTAAGAAAACACATCAGTATCAAATGTCACTTAGTTCTTATTCAAACAGAGCAGCCCAGACACAGCGGCTGCACCAGCTGACTTGGCTGACCTAGGCCTAGAGTAAAAACAAACCCCTATAAATCACCAGATGTAAGCAATTGAATAGTGATCAATTTAATTAACTGAACAGCTTTCCAAAGTTTATTGTATTGTTTTAACCCTTCAGGATTGTTCAAGAAAGGTAACTTGCAATTTGTATTCAAGGACAGGATTTGGCCAGAGGGCTACATATTAATAGCTTTAGACACTTCAGATTCATTAGATTAGACACATTGATAAAACACAAATCCCACACACGAAAACCAGGTCTTTTCTTTTTTCTAACTAATCGTATGATAGTAACTGCTTTTCTACACCTTCCTTCCACAGTTTCTTGAAACTAAATCACATTAAAAAAATCCAACTATTTTATGGTTAAAAGATCAGGAATAAGATTTTCTTTAAAATCAACTTTTTTGGTTATGGGCCCTATATGCCTTTTACAACTTTATACTCATACAACAAATGAACACCAAGTAACCAGCTAATTTCTGCATGAAAAGCAATGAACATGGACACACAATCATGTGCAACGATTTAATGTATTAACTGTAGTCATAAAAAAATATGCCACACATTAAAATGGGCTCAAAAAAAAATTTTCAAGACATTGGCAAAACATCTTCTATCCTAGATACTCGATCTGAAGCTGCATCTCAAGGGGATTTCCCTGTATTGCCCAGTGAAATTTATGGAATTCTGCCATGATTTAACACATCAGGATCTCAGCCAAAATGCATAATGACGGAGTGTAAGTCTTGTTTTAAAGACAGCACTGTACAAGTTTGTGTAACATTTACAGATGCTTGTACAGTGCCTAGCACAACAGGACTGAGGCTTCCAGGCACTACCACAACATAAATTAATTCTAATGCAGTCTTTGTATCTGAGAAGCACAAAAATAACAAGGATTATGCTCAATTATTCACATTTTAAAGAACTACTAAATAATATGACATAATCAACTTCCTAACCACAAACTGCTCTATTTCCAATTATTTTACTTTAATCTCTGTAATGCACACATTTCCATGAACCCTGTAGAGTTAGTTCCACTAACCAGGGATAAGAGTAAGATCTACTTACAAAGATAGAAGAGTTATATTTGCCGAGACTGGTCCCAGATCTGGAATGATCTCCAGTTCATTGTTGTTCAACTTCCTATTAATATTACAAAAGGGAGAGTTAGCTTTTATGTTAATCAGAAGTACATACATTGGACTTGCTAAACTGTGTCACCTCAGAATTAAAAAAAAATTCCAGTTTCACTTAATCCAAAATATCAGAACAGCAAGTATCTTTGTTGTTCGAGCAACCACCCCTAAAGAAATAACTATACAATTAGCATACACAAACACAGGTTGGGTATTTTTTGTTGGGGTTTATGTTTTGGTATGGTTTTTAATTAAGACAAATTAACTTACACTTCCTGAAGACTATGAAGGTGATCCAAGATACTGGTCTTGATTGAAGATAATTTGTTGTGACTTAAGTCCCTATGAGGTTACAAAAATAAACATCCTGTCAGTTTTGCCATACAATGCCAGGTAAAGCAGTACAATTTCAATCCAAATTATGTTCTCACTTGTGTCCAAGTACCTAAGAAGATTTTTTTGTATTAGTAAAATTCTAATAGAAACTCATTTGCTTATACACGGTATAAATACACAAATGCAAATACCTTGACCACTGCTAGCAGTGTCAAAGAAATTCCTGGTATCTCTGAACAATATAGAACTGTTCACTAGAATGTGCATAGGACCCTGGAAAACATCTTAAGATTTTGATTCAAATACACCAACCCCTCTCCCACATCCCTCACAACAGAAGATACGGCTATAACAACCTCTTTGTTACTTTAACAAGGAAAATTCAAAAAATAATAGTCACTGCAGTCTCATTCTTTGGGTTAATCATAATATTTCACTCTTCTCACCCATGTCTCAAAAGCAATCCACAGCTCAGAAACACACGAGGACTGCCCATAAATTGCAATTGTATTTTCATGCTTCCACAAAATTCAGGACACCATTACCACATAACCAAATTTAATGGAGATCTTCAGAAATAGCAGAAGAAAAAAGACATAGCGAGGTCTAATTCCGAGTTTTAAGATGTCAGTATACTAGCGATATTAATACCACATATAATTACACTTGAAGAAGTAGCTTGAACACTTAGCTTGTGCCATGTTGTACTGAAGATCCCCAGTATACACTGAGGCAGTTTATCAGCAATTGTTAGCACCTTTGTAGTGTTTGCTACCAAACAAGCCAGGTATTAAAAATGCAACACTTCTTGCTGACCACAAGAAATACTTTTCCTTACAGTGCCATGCATCTTTATGCTCAAACAATTGACACCGTACAAGAGAACTAAGAAATTTTTGCTGTAGCCTCAGAAGTACTGGAAACAGAAATAAGAGTGACTGTAAAGTAAAAGACAGGAAAGCTAACTGCAGGAACACAAACCTGCACATCTCCAAACCTCTGCACAAGTGGTACAGACTCACAACTCATCTTGTTACCATGACTAGCTCTGTTGAAGGCCATCCCCTTCTCAGTCACTCATCCACCAAAATGGGCACTTTTCCTTCCCCTACTACAGATTATCACTACCTCACCAGCATCAATCCAGCCATCTGCAGGAATCTGTTCCAAGTTAAAACACTGCATTTATCCGAGCCAGCTAACAAAAACAACATTATTTTTAATGAGTTCTTAAATTCACTCCAGTAAGTGTCTGTAATGCAGACATATAAAGAAATTAATCAGCACACCCAGTACTGAGCAGCTGTAGCATCAGGTAAAGGGTTCTTTAAAAAGCACCCTTTTGAAAAAAAAATTGCTCACAGTCCATGATACTTTTCCCCATGCTAATTAAGCACTAGAGTGATGCACCATACCTGCGGTCCTCATCAAGCCACACAGGTATGAAGTGTTATTTCAAGTTGAATCTATGAGGAAACTACACAATTCCTCATTTTACGGGGTAAGATGACTCAGTACAGTCATCCACGCTGAGCACACCAAACACAGGCCTGACTGCCACGGATGGGTCTACTTTCCGCCCTCAGTTCAGAAGTGAAGAAGGCTGATGAACAGCATATCCCTGCTGCACACAGACCAGAACTGGCTCAAATGAAGCCAAGTTCAGGGTCTGTGCTAGGCATTCTGCTCTGTGACTAAGCCCTGGAAACCCACAGATCCACAGAACTCCTGTTTCCTTGCACCCATGACTCCCACATCCTCAGACACAGGTGTAAAGCTGCAATCCAGCCAGGCACCTATGTTTCCTTAGCAGAACATGTGGATAGTAAAACTCTGGTTTAGATTCTTCCAACTTGTTCAATGTTGCCAGGACAGTTTCACTGTCACTTTTGTCCTCTCCTGCAGTTGGCAGTTAAAAAAAAAAAACCCAGTAATAATAAAAATTAAGTATAAAATATAATCCCAGGCATGTATGGGTATTATGAAGGGTACCACCAGTACTCAGCTGTAAGGTGTGCTCTGAGCCAGCCCATGGACCAGGCCCAGCGGGCTGCTGAGCTGTGGCACCAGAGCCTGGCTCAGGATAACAGACAGGAAAAGAGATGGGCTGCATTTCCTAAGCCAGAGCTGCACAGGAGTGCGCACAGGGCAGAGATGCAGGTGCGAATGGCATTTTCCAGAACAAAAGAAGGGGACTGAGGAATGGGAGAGAGCCACCTACAGAAGGGGAACACACTCCACCACCTTCATGTGGCCACAGAGGGGATGTTTTCAGAGACTCGGCTCTGGACTCAAGCACCTGATATACATCTGTGCCTTCTTTCAGGTGTTTAAACCCCTACAGATTTTCCTCTTAACAATGGAAAACCAATAGTGTCAATGTTTTCAAAAGCCCACTAATTTTAGTTTCACCATTATGATTTTCAGCTCTCCTGTATATTAGGTTAACCGCACTGAAGTTAGAGGACTGCATTCTACACTGCTTAAAAATCTAGTGAAAACATTCTTCTGGCCACAGACTGGAGAAAAATCCCGTTCTTTAACATCTGAAGGCATAAGCTGCACAGAATTTGAATTCTCACATTGCATTCTTAATCATAAATACTGAAAAAGTATGCTGCTACAAAATCTAGACAGCAATCTAACTTGGCCCTTAAAGGCAGAGTAGAGACAGCTTTTCCCCTTAATTCAGTATTTGGCTTTAGTCTGTGGGGATTATAAGAACTATGCAAATAAACAGCCAAAATTCAATTAAGTTATGGCTGTTAGTGCCTAACATTACTGTTGTTCACACTTCAGACAAGACTTAGGAATCAGTAATTATTTCAACAAAGAGCTTTCAACATTAGCGCTAAAAACCTGCATTTCTTCATTTCACCTAAAAACTCTGCAAAAGGTTTATTTAAGGCATGTTTGCCTAAAGGACCTACCAGACAGTAACAGACGTGAGTAGATTTGTTCTGCTGGAGTTATAACATGCTAAAAAAAAAAAAAATCTGGCAGAGTCCTTAAACTATAAAAATCCTACAATTACAACCACTGCTGTGCATGATCACCACACTGGAGCCAGACACTTTCACTCATAGCTCAAGCTCACATCCATCTGGAGTCTATCAAGGCAACCGTGAGCGTAACTAACACTAGGTTTTAAACTACTTTTTTTTTGTGTTTGTTTTTTAACACTAAAGATACATTCACATTTTCCAAGTAGCACCTACTTTAGAAAATACATACATAAAAATTTCTTACGCCTGGTTTACTTACAGCAGGTTGTCAAACACAAGACAGAAAAAAAACCCCAAAGCAAAAAACCAACAAAAAATGCCCAACCCTCCAGACAATACTGAATTGCCTGTTTCATACAGTATATATACTTGTCTACCAATAGTTGCATAATATAGGTATTATAAATATTTTATTAAACATTACTTCAGTACTACTGGCATAGGAAACTTCATGAAAATTCAAGAAAAAAGGCCTTGCAAGTTACATTTTAAGTTCAATTAGAGTGGTTGGAAGTGAACCAAGAGTTAAAATATTTGCCTTTTACTCATAATCTAACTGAAGCTTATGCCTGTCGAAGTTTCTTAAACTTATAAGCACTGATCTGGCATTTTTTTTAAAATATAAAAATCTATCATCCCAGTTGCAAAGCTGTAAGTTACAACTCAATGCATTTCTCAACATACCTTAAAAAAAGTAAGAAAAAAATGCTGGAAAATTAAGTTCTATTTTTCCTTCACAGAAATGGAACTGACATTGTTCAAACATTATTACTATGTGTTTTCCATTTCTGAATTTTCCTTGTATGTTAAAACCTTGTATGTTAAAAAATTACAAGGGGGGAGAAAATTCCCTCTGTGATTACTTTTGCTACTAGAATTTCAAAAGTCATAGAAGATAGAACAGAACACACACTGAAAATTCAGAAACCAGACATCTATTAAGAAATTCTTTATATCAACAGTAAGCATATATACCTGTTCTTCACCTCACATTTCTAATAGAAGTGATTGGACATTTAAGGAGAATTGCCTCCACTTGAGAAAGCATGCCACAGTTTTTACCCTCTAAGAGGGGGTATTTTGTTCTATGAAAGAAACTATTTTTTATGTTCCATTATGTTTGTATGACCATCTTTTGAAACTCACAAGTCTCAGAATTAGCTGAAACTTAACTCTGAACATCAATGTTTGTTTAATTAAAAACTGAAAGGAAGCCTAATGCGTAGAGGTAGAAGGCAAGTGCTCCTTCACACATTTTATAGATACAACTTTTAGACTCTAATTTAATTTACAACACTTAGTCACAATTATCATCTTCTTCCTTAGAGAACTCAGAAACCTGAGCCCCAAGTCAAATTTTAAAATGCAAATCCAGCAACAGTTCCTTAATCAGTCCCACTGGGGCCTATAGAGCTGCTAATTCAGCAGAAATCAGCAGAGCTGAAAAACAAAAAGCCAGGCTGTAGCTGTTTTAAGACACTGATCCAAAGTGACTCATAAATCAGCTTGCTATGTTCAAGCTTTAGTCTGGAAAATATTGAAAAACAGCTGTGAAAACCACACAGCTTTTTTTTTTTTTGCAATTCTGGTAGAGAACTAGAGGATTTATAAAATGTAAATACTAAAGATGTAATACAAACAAAGTGAAAAGCATTTTTCAGACTTTCCCTCCTGCCCCACCAACAGTTCTAGCATTCCTGAGTAAACCTGGCAAAGGGTACTGCAGTGCCAGTGGGAGTTTGCACACATGGAGGATGCTGGCCAATGCTCAACAGCCTTCCTCCTCCTCCTCCTCTAACAACACCACATTCTTGCAATATCGGGATACACATCCTGGAATTAAATGGAAATCCAACTTCAAAACTATCTGTACACAAAGACATTATAAACGTTAATCAGTTTTCAGCTGACTGTTACCTCTCATGAAGGCAAGGTCATAGAAGAAGGTATTTTTCAATAAAATCACAGTGAAGTTGGCAATTACAGTCTGTTTACACCCCACCTTATGAAGCCACTTCCATACAAAGCAGTTGACTCACACCCGCCATCAAGAAGGGGACATAACTTGGGCTCATTTTTTTCCCCTCCTTGTCCATTCTGAGGTCACTCTTATTTTGTTTCAGCAGGGAATTTGAACAAAAAAAGGCATGAAAGAATGCAGCAAGAGTTTCAAAAACCTGCTCTCCATATGGGCCAGTTCAGATGGGCAAAGGAAGGTGTAACGCCTAACATGGGCCTAGACCTTCTTGGGCAGAAGAGCTTTCACTCTCCTGCTTGGGGGTCTCGCCTGCTACGCTGAGAACGTGGTAAAAAAGCTGTTGTTTTCTCAAGAGGACTAGAAAGCCTGCAATTAAACTACTAGCCTTTGGCTATACCCACTATAGAGTCTCATGGAAAGCATAGTAGACATATAGCAATAAAATTCATAAACAGTCCTTTACAATTTGTAATGTGCAGTTTGTTGCAACAATAATCCAGACTAGTCAAACCTTTTTTGCATATGCAAAGCTGAACACATTAATTATCAGACTGCACAATCCCAGGTGCAAGCACAGGGGTAGCTGGAGGTAACAGACAACCCCACACTCTCCCTTGGTCTTATTAAGAGGGGAAGGAAGAAAGAGCTGGATACTTCTAAGGCATTTGTCACAAACAAAAGAAATATTTACACAAAAGCGGCCAGACCACATGGTTTGGTGACACCTACAAAGATGTACTTCTGTGAGTTTAAAAGCAAGTGACACAGCTGTCCAATGAGTAATCACAGCAGGGTTTCTTACAACAGACCAAAGCTTATTTATACAAGCGGAACTTATTTTCTCACACTTTTAAAGGAATGTGAACTTACATAAGGGCAATTTACACTACCAAGGGAATTCTAATTAGAAAAATGTCCCTTGTGCTAACAAAGCCCTGCAATGTGTTTTATTGTCTCGCGGGAACGTAAGTGGAAAAGATAAATTTGGATTACTGCTAACAAAAAATGCTTTTAAAAGCAAGTCTAAAAAAATTAAAAGTTCTGTGACTTTCCCTCTTTTTATTTACCACATCTGAGTTTTAACAGAATTGATGTATGCTAAGGAACTAAACTATAAAGCTTACATTATATAAAAAAAAATACTTGGATTTTGTCAGAAAACTCAACTGGGCATCCTGAAACAGTTCAAAAGAATAAGAGGGATGAAATATAATAGAAAGCAAAACCATTTGTTGAATGTAAAGCAGATCCAGTAGTAGATCCGTATGTTTCAATCACATAAGAAAAAAAAAAAAAAGTTTCTTTCCCCTCACACTTTCCTATACCAGTCCTGGAAATAGTCAACTCCCAGAGCCGTGCCTGTGTTCAGTTCCATATGGTGTCAATACAACCATCCACATTTCATGAGTAAAGCAGCATGACCTCCAGACGAGGCAATTGAACAGAATTAGCCACAACTAATTGAAAGTCTTCCTGTTTACTTTAAAGCCCTTATCTCGATCTGCTTTGAAAACGTAATAGAAAATTAATACAACTAATATAGACGATCTTTCAGTGACAAGCGATTAAAAACAAATGTGAGAAGTTCCTCGGCCATTTTCAAGCTTTTAGAAAGCTCGCCGAATCTGTGCCTTTTCTATAAAAGTTTGTCTCTGAAAGTAACTTTTCCTCAGATGGCACTTGAGTTCGCACTGCCCTGCGTTCGGCCACTGCGCGGTAAGGGACCGAGCGGGCCCGCACCAGCGCCAAAACCACCCAGGGACGAAGAGCTGCGCGAAGAAAACCGATAGGAGTTTCCCGATCAGAGTCAACGTGATGACTACTGAACGTTGTCCAAGAAAGTCAACAGAACTTTTCCTCGCTCTCTCCGACAATGAGCAGCATTCCCGGGCCCGAACTGCCGGGCGCTTATCGCCCCCACCGTCCGGGGCCGCAGCCTGCCCCAGGGGACGCTGTCCCGCTGCGGCCATCGGCGCCCTCTCCGCGCCCGCTAACAGCTCTGCCGCGGGCCGGCGCTGCCCTCTCCCGCACCTCGCTGCCGCCACCACACCCGAGCTCCCCTCAAAGCCCGCCCGTTCGCAGCCCCGGGGACAGAAGATGGCGGGCGGGCGAACGGATGCGGGCCGGTACCCCCAGCCCGCCACCCCGATACTCACAGCTGCACCGCTCCCCGCGGCAGCCGCTCGGGCAGCCGGCTCAACTCCAGGCGGCTGCAGACGACGAGGTGCCCAGCGCAGCGGCAGGGCGCGGGGCAGCGGGCGGCGGCGGGGCGGCCGCCCAGCAGCAGCGGCAGCAGGAGCAGCGCCGGGAGGACGGCGGGCGCCGTGCGGGGCCGGCGGAGCATGGCGGGCTCGGAGCCGCTGCCCGCGCTGCCGTCCCTGGCGTTTCCCCCACTGACAGAGCCGAGCGCGGCACGACCTCCTGCTTCTCAGCGCGGGTGGCGGCCGCCGCTCATGCCCCGGAGCGGCCTCTGAAGGGGGAAGGCGATGGGAGACGGGGGTGTAGAAAAAAGTAAAGACAAGAAAGCGGGAGGGGACCGCAGCGCCGCCACCGCCGCCAGCCACTCCGCAAACTTTCCGCCACCTCAGCCCGCCTCCGCGCGGCCGGGGGAGCCCCGAGCACGGCCCGCCCCGCTGCAGCCCCCTCCCCGTGCCATGTGACAGCCGCGGCCGGGCGCCGCGGGGCTGGGGTGCGGGATGGTGGCCCGGGGTGCGGGTGGGCCGGCATCGTGCCCCACTGCTGTCAGTCCTTGGCGGTGGCACCCCCGGGCCCCCGCCCCGGGCCACAGCACATGGCCGGCCTCGCAGCACGGCGGGCGCTGCTGTGGGATTTTGCTGCCGTCCTCGGTCTCTCCATTGTCGGGCGGGAGCGAGCAGCGGGCCCTATGTGCCCTATGCGTCACCCACCACACCCGGGCCGAGGTGAGAAGGCACGGGCGCCATGGTCGCGCTCGCGCGGAGTTTCCCTTGGCCATCACACCATGTAGCGTGTGTTGTGGTAATCCAGAAGCTGCTCCAGAGGCCCCAACGGCGTCCCAGCCAAGCCTGGGGTCACTGGCATGTAAAAGGTGAGGTGAGGTTAACTCCTGCCTTCCGGGTCCTACATGGCTAGTCCAGACACCGTAATTAAGCCCATTATGTTCCCCACAGGTTCCCGGCTCCAAAGGTTCAGGGAAGTGGGCAGGACGTACAGATTCCACATCTCTGAGGTAATTGATGTAATTTAAGAAAATACCTATTGTTCAAGTTCCATATGTAAGCCCGCACCCTGCAACGGATTCAATTACTGAAGGCTTCGCGCCCCCATGCTCTGCAGCAGCAGTCATCAAATTACTCACAAACACTGCTTCCCCTCTCACCTTTATATGTACACCTGAAAGACGGCAGACATCTTAAGATACAGTGAACCTCATCAATAAGCATCAGTAAGTTTGACAGCTCCAGTATCAAGAATTGTAAGGCTGAAACCTTATCCCATTTTTTTATTGTTTCCATGTATATCTCATGATACGGGGATTTTTGTTAAAGAAACAAAACTACATTTTAGCTAGGGGTCATGAGTTTGCATGACTGGCAAGTCCTAAGTAAGTACAAACATTCATGTGCCACTGTCAACATGAGTGTTTCAGATGCATAGGGTGTGCAGAGCTGTGCAGTGTTTTGTCAGCTTGTGCTCCATTGACCACTGGTGTTTCTTAAGGAAATTACCATGGGAAAACAGGCAAATGCTGCAGGAACACACTTGTTTCTACATATAAAAGCAAGCAAACAAGTAAAGGAACAAAATACAGGATAGAAATTACTTACTATGTTTTTGCAAGTTATTATTATTTAAAGTGAATGAAAACTGTCCTGGTACCACTGGCGTGTCAGTATTGCACTTTCTTTTCCAGTCTTCCTGTGGAAAACATTAAGGTGACATTAGATCAACAAAAGTTGTGAAACACTGAGCTGTTCTAAACAGATAGCAGGACAGTGCCAAATTTGGATTTTTGAAGCTATCCATCATTAGTCTGTACCTGTTTCCATGGAGTTCAGTGGGAAAGCTTCTTTTCTCAAGTTCCAGCATTTGTGATAGCTGTCCAGTTGTTTCACACTGGAACAAATGAAACTGGAACAAGATGCAGAGGCACTTGAACATGTTGTGTGTATACATAGGTTATAAATGTATATATATAAGTAAGGTATATATAAGTGTAAGGTATATACTTGCTAATTTTGCAAAGTAATGAAAAATTCAAGAGAAGGATCTTTATATTGCTCCAGGTAATTATTGAATGATCTACAAAAATTAAAATAGATTTAAAGTAACTAAGCTTTTTATTATAGTTCCCAGAGTGCACAGCAAAGGGCCTCACTTTTCTGGGAAAAGTGAGCTTTTCTTATCTTGAGTGTTGGTAAGGGTGGTGATTCACTAGTAGGTGGCAAGAGAGTCATTAAGCTGTCATTTTTAACATTCAAGGGAAAGAAAAATTAGAAATAAAGCATTTTGAACTTAATTTATCATAGCAGTCAATAATATATGTAGTCCACATGTGAACTATGGAACAAGAGAGAATCTGAGAAACAAAAGCAGAAAAAAAAAAAAGAGACGAAAAGTGCAGGAACTTCTGGTTTTGTAATTTTGAAAACCACTCATGCAGTCAGGGAATACTGTGTCCTTAGAAAAACCTAATGCATATTTATTGCTGGTAATATATGAAGCTGTTTTAAGTTAAGCAAGGTAAATTAATTCCGAAAATTAGTTCATTTGTCTTTGCAGCTTCTTTTCTCAAAATAATCAATAGCATGAATCCTACAATGCTTCTATATCCATATATATGTACTTCAGGTCCTTGATAGAAAGTCTTTTTTCCCACAGGGAGATTTAGTCTCTTCAGAAGTCTTAATGGCTGATTCTGCACCTCATATGAACATAGCAAGCTCTGGCAGCCCTCAGTTCCAGGAGTCTCTTCATCATTGGTTTTAGGTTGAGTGTGCACTGTGACTGTACATAAGCAAATACAAGTCTCACCTTCACAAATCTGGCTGGACTATATATTATAAGCTTAAAAGTAAGCTTGTATCAAAATAAGAGGTCTCCCATTCATCTACCCTGTTATCTCCACATGTAGCAAGGAACTTCTGGTGACCATTCCTTGGCATCGGCATTAGCACAACTGCAGATTCATCAGGATTAGGGGACTGATTTGACTGAAAATAGTAACACCACACATGCACACACACAGACACTTTAATTCTAAGTTGGAACAATTTCCTTATCCAGTTTTCCATGTAAGTGCACAAGAAAGAGACTTTACTCATCATTATGCAAAGGCAGGTCCTTTCCATGACAGCCTGAATACAGGTCAGCCTGAGGGAATGATGTTGAGGGGGAAGGATGGCTGCAGAGAAAAATTCTTGTAAAACTAGACCCTCAAGCTCTCTCTTTGGCTAACAAGATTAGTTTCCTCCACAACACTACCAAGCATAATCCTGTGTATGAGTTGGGAGTGGAGGACAGGAGATTGTGTAGTGAGATATAGCCCACTGTTTTGGATGTTATGGCTTGATTCTAATGGTATCATTTTCAGTCTCTGATTATTTTAAATCAGATAAACATAGGTTTACAGATTCAAGTCCAAACATATGTTGTTTAAAATATGTATTCACTTCAGGGAAAAGACACACCCAGAAGCTGTCTAAGTAAGATTTTTTGCATATCATTAACGCTCTGAAATCTACTTCCAGAAAAGGTCAACCCTAAATCAGACTGGGTTTAGCAGATTATTAACAATAATTTACCTATTGCTAAATTAGGCAAAACTTAATTAAGGTACTATACATTTTCTGTTCTGAATTCAAATTGGAATATCTTTTATAACATTAGGGTTCAGTTAATCTAATTACAGGTTTTTTATTCATTTTGCAAAAGGATCTCAAGTAATTACATCAGACAATTACATATAGTTGTATATAGTTATGTGTAGTTAGATCTGCAGGATTAACATCAGAAAGTCAAAAGGACTGAACAGTTACTTCTACTAAATACTAAGTGATTTCGTCCACCAAGGCCACCTCAGGAATTAAAAGTCTTGCCATGTACTCCTGGCTCACCTTGTAATCCAAATCTGTGTCTAGTATTCATTTCGGATTTTCTACTTGCCATGGGTAAATGAAGTGTTTTGGATAGGGTTCAGCAGCAAAAAGCAGAAGCAAAGCAGAATAACATTGCTTAGACTCTGACCCATATCACTTCTGATAGAGTGAGATAAAAACCATTGGCCCATCTATTTACTTTCCTGTCAGTAAATGACCCTGTAGGAGTATTGGCAGAATTAATGTCCTGTCTATTTATTCCTAAACTTTCACAGTTCAGTTTTATTTATTGTCGAAGAAGATGCTTAGGGCTATCTGAGAGAAGGAAATGGAGAGTTCATGCTCTCAAGATCATTACTGCCTGTTGGAGATTCACCAATTTAGTCCACTAAAAAGAGTAATCTTAAGACTAACAATTTTTTTTTTATAAAACCACATCTGAAGGATGAGATGAACCAGTGAGACCCATCCTGCTTATAAAACAAAAGTGGAGCAGGACATGCTTTTTGTGCAGGTTGCTTGCCTATGTGAAATACGTTGCAATAGGCAGGAGCAATTTTTGCCTCAGACACTGGTCTGGAAGTTACTAAAGAGTGCCACAAAACCTTCTTATTGTGTGTGAACAATAATTACATCCAATATAATGGAATATTTTTCATGGGAATTACTCTAAATGAAGAGCTTTTCTATCTTCCTTTGCTTCTGCCCATTTGGTATTGCAATTGATACTACTTTTAGATTATAGTAAGACTAAGACTTCATGACTATTTGTTTCAAACCCTGTGATTAACCATTACAATTTCATTTCCATTTGAGAAAAATAATAAAATATTCTTAAATAATTTCCTAGTAATTGTGAATCTCCCTCTAGTATGTCATAACTCTACAGTGAA